GTGGGTGTTGCCTTCTGACACACTTCCAGTGATGTCAGGGGGTGTGGCATATGCAAATGAGTTATGCTAATGAGTTATGCTAATGAGCTCCTGCACCTCTTTTTCTACGAAATGACCCCTGCCGATGCCCAAATGCCAGAGTGTGAATGGCATCACGCTGATGTCACTTTCGGGTGCACAGGAAATTACATCAGCACAACACCGATAACATCGTTGCATTTCTAGTGAGGGTCCCTGCCACTGGTAAGTCCCTCTGCTGATTGATTTAAGCCCTATGTCTATTTGATTCCAGGCCCAAACCAGTGCACTGCTTATTACCATTAAAGTTCTAAATGGTGTGGGATGCAGGTAACAAAAGCACCATCGGATCCTGTATTGGCTTTCCCCCCCCCCCCCCAGGATCCTCTTTGGAAGCTGTCACAAGAAGCAGGGCCTTCTCAGCGGGGGCACCCTACGATTATTTCTAGTATACCATTTGGCCCACCTATCTGGAACTTGCTTGGTTGAGGGGCGCGGGTGGGGAAAGCAAGGGACTCAAAACGAAGCGAACGAAGCCAGATTATCCTGCGAAATTCTGCAGCCGCTTGAGCCTCCATCGCGGAAAAAGCGTGTCTTGCCCTCTTCCTCTGACCGATACTCACCCATCACACTTTCGGTCCCCCCAATTGGAGGCGTGTGGCTTGACACTCCATACTGGGCAGAGGCTGAGGAAAACCCGGAGACGGATGGGAGCCCTCCATTCACTTCTCCTGAATGCATCTGATAGTTCTGGAAGAGGGAAGAAAAAGCAATCGGTGGTGGTGGGGGGGAAACGATGACGACAGTATGCTACCTCTGTCCTGACGTGGATAGCCCCGGCTAGCCCAGGCTTATCAGATCTTGGAAGCTAAGCAGGGTCAGCCTTGGCTACTATTTGGACAGGTGACCTTCAAGGAGGCCTGTATATGTTTTTAACTGTCTTTCTAATAAATACACATATTTTTGTATATATTATACACTAGGCTTTTGATACTAGCCCTTCATCAGGCTTCTTTCTTACCCTTGTGGTTCCTGATTCCAGATACTGAGTCAAGTTTGTTTTCCCCTCCCTGTGTCTTACCGACCTCCAAGGAATACCAGGGTCGTGACACCGAGGCAGGCCATGACAAACCATCTCTGACATGTCTCTTGCCTCAAAGAACAGAAAGTCTAGCTCGCCATCTAGTGGTGCATAATGCTAAAAAGCTAGAGCTTCCAGTTGCCAGACAATCTTAGGATTTCCTGGCTATACGACACACCCTGCCATATGATAATTATTATTTCGTATGCTACCTCTGGCAGAAAAAGATTCAGAATGTTATCCGGGCTCCGGACAGCCTTTCTTGCTATTTATTTGCTTCGTTTATATCTTGCCTTTGTCCCCCGTGTGGACCCAAAACAGCTTTTGTTATTCTCGTGTCTTCCCTTTTACCTTACAACAACCGTGTGAGGTAGAACAGCCTGAAAATGTGTAACTGGTTCCAGATCACCCAGTGAGCTTCCACAGCAGACTGGTGATTCCAACCTGGGTTTCCCAGCTCCTATCCTGAAACTCTAGCTGCTACACTGCATTGGCTTTTGTGGGGTGGCTGCTGTCGAACAGTAGCAAACAGCCAGTCCTAGGTACGCAGTATCAACTTGCTCAGTCGTTGTTGCCTGGTGAGAAGTCCTCCCTCAGTGGCCAAAACAGCTTTAGAAAGGGCCATCCCTTCTATCTGGCTTTTGCTGACAGAAACCAAGTCTGGAAGGCTGACAATACTGCTGGGCTGCCTAGCAACAGCCACTGAGGGTGTTCATTTTTTTCCAAGCAACAGGAGCTGCTTCTATTATTTTTTATGGGGGGTTACCCACCCCTGGATGTATTTTTTTAAGATTCCAGATTATTCTGCAATCCTGGGGCTTTTCTCAGGTTTGTAAAAAGATCTGCCCGGTCTGCTCAGGGCTCCAGTCTCTGGATTTAAGCATCCACAGATTTGGCCATGTTGAAAATTAGATATACTGTGTTTTTGGCCTTGGTATTTTATAACAAGAGTGACTTTAGTATCACTTAGTTTACTTCTGTTAGCCTCCTCGTGCTTTGAAGAAGCGAGTTATTACATATTTAATCCAACAAGTGGGAAACCTGGGTCCTCAGAGCTCAAAGGGCTGCGTGAGCACAGTCTGGGGCACTATTTTTTTTTAAAAGACGTCCGTGTCTACCGAACTAAAAAACAACAACAACCACCCCCAAACAACTCGCTATCTCCCTATTCTAGAAATGTATCATTGAATGGAGGCTCTCATGTTGCACATTTTAAAACCTGTCCTTAATCTTAGGCAGGATGAACCGGGGCTCCCTGTGGAGATGGTCGTGCCATGGCCTCACTGTGGCTGCTGCTCTGTGTGGAGGGAAATGAAACCAAATAGTGTGGATGAACTGAATCCACACGTCACCCGAAGCAGACCGGCAAGCTCCCCATCGGAGACCTGTAGCTGCCAGTTCACATGTGACCCCCTCAACCCTTCCCGGTGGCTGAATTCAGACGTCAAGAATGGTTTTGCCCATGGAGGGAAGGAGTCCTAAGTCCTCAGGAGACCCCCCTTCCGAGGCAGAGAGACCCCCCCCTTCCTTACCATCCGTTCGTGCTGGTGAAGACCACTGAAGTTGCCAGACTGCGGGAGGGGGGAAGAGGAGGCACCCAAAATGGATCCGTAATTGGACTGGCCCATGGTGCCCGAAGAACTCCACAGGTCGGTCGAATTGTGCAGTCCGTCTGCAGAACAAAACGGGCCAGATTTCACATTGTCACCCAAGAAAAAAGGACTTGGAGTCCGTCCCCCCCACCTCCCTGGCAGCTGTCCATCTAACTGGCTCACAGACAAGCCCCCCCCTTCTCCCAAGCAGTCCTTTCTTTGCCTCTGGGTGTCCAAGCGGGCTCTTTTGGGCACCCTTCATCTGGTTGCCTACCTGGCATGTAGAAGGCTCCAGGGTAAACAGTGCTGGGGGGCTTGGAAGGAGCGTAGCCAGCTGGTTCCCTGCTGTAGTCATCACCTGAGTTGGGTGGATACACCTGCAAGAGAAAGAGGAAGCCCTTCAAGAACGAAGGCCCGGCCCAGGCCCTGTCCCCAAATCCATCTTGTTCCTGTGCCAACAGCAAATAAAATAAAATAAAATATTCAGCATTTTTGTCTCCATTTGGGGATGCGACAGACAAGAGCCGTTAGCTGGTTCAAGAAATTTTAATTGAGCCCTGACCCTGGGTAGCCCAGGCAAGCCCAATCTCGTCAGATCTCGGAAGCTAAGCAGGGCCGGCCCTGGCAAGTACTCAGATGGGAGACCTCCTTGGAATACCAGAGGTTGGGAGGCGGGGGCAGGCCTTATTCAGCCACCCCTCTGAATATCCTCCAGGCACCCAGTAGGGGTCAATCACCAGAGGTCGCCATGACTTCCAGGTGCGCGCGCGCACACACACACAAAACCCCCAAAAGAAAGAAACTTTAATTATGTATTTTAACCAGGGAGGGGAGAACAAAATTTCTGCAGTCTTTTTTGGCCACCAACCCCACCCGTTCTTCTTGGGGGTGGGGTGTCTCTCCACACTGAGCACTAGAATCACTTGGAAAGCAACCTCTGGACCCAGGGCCTCCAGCATGCAAAGCACGTTCTTAGCCCCTGTGCCGTGGCCCCCTTTCTGCCGTGCTGGCGCCAAGTTACCCGAGCATGCCATGGTGTCTTCTTGCAGAGTCAGACCATTGGCCCATCCACGGCTCAGTACTTAAGAAGGGCCCCTGCTGATTCGCATCAGCCCCCCCCCCCAATATTTCCAGTAAACGAGTCCCTTATTTTCTGCACCCACTTTTCAGCCCCAAACAGACTCCCCGAGGGGTTCCCAGGAATCAAAAGGTGATTCAGATTCGATGCAAAACGTTCCTGGGGGAGGGGAGTTGCAGTCGGGGAAGCGAGCATGACGGAAGGGTGCCCGGATACAGCCTGGAGCAGTCCCATCCACAGCGGCACCTCGAGCCCGTTGGGATCTCTCGGCCGGAGTGCCTTGTTAGAGGTCACAGGGTGCCCCTCGTTTAAGCCTCGCAAACACAGAAAACGGTTTCAGATAGAGAATCTATCCCACCAAATGCTGAGTTTGATTGCTTTCCCGCTTTCTTTCTAGAAAGCACCCAGCGCCTTGCCCTCCTTGAGCCACGCTTGTGTTTAAAAGCTCACGGGCCACACCTGGTGAAACGCAAGAAGCCCAGATGCTTCAGGCCTCTAGCCTGAAAGATACATGCAGACAGGGGTCATTTCCTGCAGCACAGGAGTGGAACTCCGGCAGTAGAGAGCCCAAGGGGCGGGCACATGCAACAAGCCCCACCCCCTGCTCCCAGCAGCCCTCGGTCAGAGCAAGAAGCAGCCAGGTAAGTTGCAGAGCTCCCCCCGGCCCCCCGGTCCAAAACATTCCAGTGGCACCTTTAAGACCAGGTTTTATTCAGGTACAAGCTCTCCCTCCTCTGCGAGGACAGATCAGCACGTCCCCCCACCCCCGCAAAAGCTAGCGATCCAAAACGGACTCCAGTGGAGCCTGAGCGGTGGGTGTTGCCTTCTGACACACTTCCGGTGAGGTCAAGGGGCATGGCATATGCAAATGAGTTATGCTAATGAGCTCCTGCACCTCTTTTTCTACGAAATGACCCCTGCACGCAGATATATCTGCAAGGGCATTTGATTTTGCCCCGACTGTGGAATCCAGCTGTCCCTGATGCAGACATGTGAGTTTTGGGTTTGTTTAAAAAACAAAACTAAACAGAGCATGTACATCCACGTTTGCCGTGGATTGGGGAAAAAAGGCTGGTTTAATATCATAGGATTGGGGGGGGAAGGGAGAAATGGAAGTGGGTATGTGCCCACGAGCACCCACCCTGCACAGCCTTGTGCCAAGGCTAGTCAGTAGACAGGGGTACATGCAGAGCGGGTGAGCTGTGGGGTTGGTCTGCAGCCAAGGCAACCTGGTCTTTACTGGGGGGGGGGAGAGAGAGACAAACACCAAATTCCTCAGACCAAAAGGCTCAGTCAGAGTTGGCATGCACAATTCTTCCTCAGCCCCTTGAGGCACTGCTCGCTGTTAACTCTGTAGCTGCAATATTGTCTTCGGCCTTCTGGTGTTTGTGTGTTTTTGTGTGTGTGTGTGTGTGTGTGTGTGTGTGTAGCTGCAATACAGTGAAGAGTGGGGAAACAGCTCCTTCTTCTGTCCGGCTGCCGCAACTGCAGGGTGTAAAATTTTGTGCAGTGAGGGCTGTGGAGGGGGTGGAAAGAATCAAGTCTCCCAAGATGCACCCTCTCGAGGGGAGGGACATGGGGCAAGAGGGTGGAGTCTTACGGTGCTTGGAAGCATTTAGTGATGGGGGGTGAGGACCAGATCGACATGGGGCCACTACAAAACACCCTGTCTAAAAATATCCTGCTTCCTTGACTGAGCTACAATGGCTACCTATCCCCCTTAAGCTCAAAGCAGCTGCCTCCAGAAGGGCCCAATGGGGCACTGGAATTCAGATGATTAAAAAAAACCCAACACTAAATGATGCTGAGCTCTGTTTCCAGCACATCCCCCAAGAGGACAGAAGCAAACTCGGACACAGAGGCTTAGTGGGGGCAGCAGGCCAGCAGTGGGCTGCTTGCCACAGCTTTCCATTGGGTCTTGTATCTATAGCACATCCGGCCCCTCCATTGTGATGATGAGAGAAAGGGGGTGGGTAAAAGAGGCACATGACAGCCGATGCCAAATGGGCACCCGGTCGCAACCGGACCTTTGGAATGTGCCGGCCTGCCCCCATTTTCAAGCTGCCAGTCCGTGGGGAGCGGAGACCTCGGCAGGGGATGGCGCAATGGCTAATTAAAGCAGCTTTTCTTGATGGCTGCTGCAAAGTTTCAAGAGGAGTCTGGGCAGAATTGCAAACCCTCTCTGAAGGTTCTCACGTGGGTGAAAACGGCACGGAATTCCGTCCATTGCCCTACAGGGGCGGTGCGTGTGTTTCGGCCACATAGTTCCCAAGGATCTGCTGGGCCTAGACGGCAAGCCTGTGTGTGTTGTGTTGCACATTAACACACACACACACACCCTTTTTACTACCCAGTTATGCTTCACCCCACGACCTTTGTATAAAGGGGAAGGGGGAGATCCGTGCCCATGTCTCTCCCCCCTCCCCTTCCCTTTTTGCAAAGTGCATTTGCAGAGAGTACGTGGTGAGGAGGAGGAGGAGGAGGTGGGGGGAGAGCGGGAGAGGGGGAAGCGGTGGGGGAGAGCGCTGGAGAGGCTTGGGGCGGGAGCGCAAGGGGGGGGGGACGAAACAGGCTACAAAGAATAAGAAATCCAGTAAATTGCCTTTTCCTATAATTTGATTAAATAGCAGGAGCCGGGACTGGAGCAAAGGAGGAATAAAAAAAAAAGAGGAGGAGGAGAAGGAAGCCGGCTGGGTCTCAGGCTTGAACAAGGAGAGCGGGAGGGCGGCAGACGCAGAGACCCAGAGAGTCCCCCCTTCCCCCTCCGGAGTGACGCCGGGTGAGATCCTTCTCTCGCCCCCCCCCCAATCCCGTGCATTTCATTCATTCACACTATGCATCCTTCTCCCACCACCCACCACCCCCATTCCAAATAATGTACCTTTGCACACCACCTGCGGAGCTTCTAACTGAGGGAACGGGAGGAGGCACCTTAAAATAAAAGAGGGGGTGGATGGGGGGGGAGAGAGAGGAGACAGGAGCCGGGAATGGAAAAGAGCACTCCCCAACCCTTTCCAGATATGTGAGTTTGGAAGGTTTTT